GTCCTTTCACTGGATGTGATCTAATTTACGAGGTCCTTTCACTGGATGTGATCTAATTTACGAGGTCCTTTCACTGGATGTGATCTAATTCATGATGTCCTTTCTGGATGTGATCTGATTCATGAGGTCCTTTCACTGGATGTGATCTAATTCATGATGTCCTTTCTGGATGTGATCTGATTCATGAGGTCCTTTCACTGGATGTGATCTAATTCACGAGGTCCTTTCACTGGATGTGATCTAATTCACGAGGTCCTTTCACTGGATGCGATCAGTCCAATTCATGAGGTCCTTTCACTGGACGCGATCTGATTCACGACTGTGTGTCGTAATTTCGGTAAGAAATTGTATCAGTTTATCTCATGTCCTTTTAATCTTAAATAATTATGTAATGTTTAGTAAATCTTCGTACAGTTCACCGTATACATAATTTTTATGTTGCTAGTCGATCGATCTCCGGCGGAGAAGAAGCTCTCTTGCATGTTAAACCAAGTACACAGTGTACACGAACGTATCAAATAGTCTTTACAAAGCACTGAGCACGCTTCCTTTTTGAGGGATCATAATTAATGCCAGTTCAAGGGAATTCAGACTTGGTTAAAGTTCATTTCAGTTTGAATATTTTATTAACATGTCCATGCCGTAGGTCAAGACTAAAATTGCCCAGGCTGTTTTTTACTAAAAGAAACAAATTATACTACAGTAATTCCTGTTCATTTAATTATACGACTTATTGGCCAGTCAATGCGCATAAAATCATGAATTTAAATTGTTTAAAACTGATGTTAACGTGAAAATAAAACTCTGTGAAAATGAAAGTTTCCGGCAACAACAGAGGAACGTTCTTCGACAAACACTTGAGTTCTTGTTTACTTTGATGACTGCAGTGATGATGTCCGTGGGTGGTGAGGGAAGATAGAAGACGTAGTGAATGAAGTTGAAGCAACGGTCAGGCCACCCTTATTTAGAGGAAGAGAAGAAATACATGTTTGACCTTCTTTGATAAAAACTTTAGTTCTTATTTACTGTGATGACTGTAGTGATGATGTCCGTTGGGTGGACTAGAGGGAAGATGGAAGACGTAGTCAAATGAAGCCAGTGAAGCAACCCTTACGTCAGAATTAATTAGTGGCAGAGGAGCTTCATCTATGACTAACCTCGTTGACAAAGGCTTTAATTCTTGTAAATTATTTAGATGACTGCAATTATGATGTTTGTAGATGGTGAAGGAAGAACTAATACCTAGTGAAAGAAGATGAAGCAACTGATTCATATCTGTATTAAGAAATCACTTACCAAAACATCGTGATTATGGAGAACGTTGTACATACCACTTTCTTGATTGATACCAGCGGTTATTAAGTTAATATGAACGACGTCAGATAATTATTGAAAGCATCATTATCACCACCACTTTCGACAGCAATATAGCCAAGAACATCATCATCATCATCATCATTACCATCATCATCAGCAGCATCATATATCATATCATTATCGCCATTGTTATCATCGTTATTGCGGGCGACAAGAGGAGGACGCAAGCATAATCTTGACGAGAAAACGCCAAGGGGCCTGGGCCCACGGAATACGAGAGACTAGACAGCTTTTCTGAGTTTTCGACTTCCAACTGGAATGTGAAGAATGCGAGGAATGCAGACTTACAAGATTAGGCCAGTGCTCAAACAGGTTTTCACGCGTACGTGAGGGAATTCGATCCGCTGGGATAACCTTCCTTAAGGCAAACCAAATAACTAGCTAAATACTCACTTGCATCTGCCTCTCCATATATTAATAGCTACTCAAGCCTCTCARATGAATTAAGAATATCTTGTTAATAGTTATTGAAAAAATATATATACATCAATTGAAAAAACGTAGTCGGGTTCGAGAAGGTCATATCATCGAAGCTAAGACCGAAAAGGATTTTGGGAACTCCGAAATGTGTATTATATTTGCATATAGACATGTAAAAATGCACAGTAGAGCAAAGTCGGTCGACCTAGATTACCAACATGCCAAAGCCAAATGCATAAAATGTGCACAGGAAGGGAAAACTGCAATACGCATGAAATTAGCATAATTGTTTGTCTTCCCATGCTCCCCTTCGGTCTTAGCTTTGATAATATGACCGCCTTTTTTTGCACCCGACAACGCTTTTTTAATTAGGTGTATATATTCCTAAACTTAATTTGTGCTTGCTTCACCATAACAACTAATGTAAAGATTATATAAATTTAAGTAATTATTCTTTTTTAAATCATCTTATTAATCATGTTTAATTTATCCGCATCACGATTGTTTTCAAAAAAGATATATTAATCATATTTATTTTTAGAATCCATTTATTTTATAACAAACTTTGCTTACAAGATATAAGCCTTCTGTTTTACTTTTAATATCCTGCTAGCTTTGGCAGTTTTCTTAATCTGATAATGAGGGTTTTTAACCAAAATGATTGAAATTAAGAAACTTCATGCCAAGAATTTTTATCAAAGTTAAGTTTCCCCCAAATTACCTAGAAACTTGAGAAATCTGAGAGCACAATAATATCTACCGCCATACTAACTTTAATTGTCGACTTTTTAAAAACCTTTTTATTCATTAGGAATTACCTCGAATATATGATAAAACCATTAGCTGAAAGTGTCGAATGAGTGAGTCGCTTTGCTTAGAGTCTTAAACTCTCAACGCTACATTTTAATACTCCATTCACAACAAGGCTTAAACATGTTTTAAAGTGGTTTAACTAAACAGGTTTGGAAAACTATCTACGAACACTGCACAATATTTGGTGAAATAATGCATGTAAACTTTCCTTTGTCTTGCTATGACAATATTTTAGAAAGTTTTATTATGCTGTAGCTTTCTAGTTTCTCTTTTTTTCTCCTAACGAAAACACAGTTTAACTAAACACGTTTAGGTGTGAATGGGTTTAAGACTTATAATTGAACCTTATAAATTTATCTTTTTTTCTAGAGGAAAAAAATGGCATGTTTTCTTTCTGAGCAGACGTTTTTTCCGGTTTCAACTTTCGAATTATTAATTAGCGATCATCAAAGAAATCATCGAAAAATTAATCAGAAAATGAAATCTTAGAACAGATTTATCGAAAATAAACATGTCCAAATATGGTAATAAAAATGATGCGAAACCACATGACTTGAAACCWACCAATAGGAGGAGTTTCAAGAGAAAACAGCTGAAAGTGAAGATGGTCTTATAATTTAGATCGAGGAAGTTATTATTTAATCTTATGAAAGTCAGTAAACAACCTGTCAAAAAGTGTATGTAGAATCCTGCTTCCTCAAAAAATATTATTTTCAACAGTTCAGCCTCAGAACTGTACATGTGTTACGCTTTACCGGTGAGTTTACCGGGATTTCTAACTTAAAGGTTGCAGGAAAGTTCAAGACTAGAGTGTTTTAACACTATATTTTAGCTGGTGGAAAAACGATACACATCCGATCCGTTTTAATAGCTAACGGTGAACTAACGGTTTGAAGAGATTCCGTGACAACTGCTGTTTGGGGTTTTTGGTAACTGGATTAAAGTTTGTAAGTATGAAATCAAATGATAGCGGCTTATAAACTCTCGATAACTATACATATTTATTGACCGTATTTCCCCTGACTTTATATCGCTCCTTTTTCCTCCTTTTTCCTTTCTTTTTCTCTCTTTTTTTTTTTTTTTTTTTTTTTTTTTTTTTTTTTTTTTTTTTTTTCTGTACATAACACTCAAGTAAAACTTGCTCGGCCTTTGTTTTTTGTTTTGTTTCTTTTTAATATTTCCTTTTTTTCTTCTTTGAATTCGCTCTCGAGATTCCCAGTTTTCTCACTTGTATTTTTAAAACTTTTCGTTCTCCGCCCTGATTTTCTTTTAGTTTTTCTCCTTTTTCGCATATTCATTGGTATATTTTTTTCCTAGTCATGTTATTCATTTCGTTTTAATAAATAATACAATCAATTCTTCAAGTTTTCATTTGTTTTCTTTCTTTCATTCTTTGTTTTCTTCTCTCTCTCTTTCTCTTTCTACGTGTCTTTCTTTATTCACTTGATCGTATTCTTGATCGCGATCTTTCTCCATCTCCCGAATCTCTTTTCGGTTACAAACAAATTCATAACTTAATATAAACGCATTCGTAATGAGATCTCGTTTGGATTATAAAGAAATCAAAGACGCTAGCACAAATCGGAAACGAAAGTAATAAAATGAATTATACCACACGAAGCGACAATAATAAGGAACACCCTAAGTTTTCACCTAGGATTATTAGTATTCAATAACCAGTTTTTTAATCRATAGCATTTTTTAATCAATGATCATGTGGAAGTTTAGTTATAGAATTTAAGCAATCGTATTAAGATAAACCTTATTTAAATTACATGTTGCTTTTAGAGAAGTAACGCTACTAATATACAACAGGTGAAGAAGGTTTTGAACGGGTTTAATTCGGAACGAAAAGACGTTGCCAGACTTTGCTAAGCTTCTATTTGAAATTATTTCTATTATATGTATTTTACAATAGAATGCATTTTTTACCATCGCTATTTTGGACAAAAAATTTTGGCTAGTAGAAATTCAGTTCACACCTCGTTTATATTAATTATCGGCGTTTGTTGCAAATTATACGATAATAGAGTAAACAAATATATTAAAAAATGGACTTTTAGAAAGTGTCAACTGACAGGTTTTAGTTTCGTAACTAATATGCCGGTAGTATAGGGCTTTTAAGTTGTGACGTATTTCCGGGTCCAATCACGCAAAAGGGTTCGCTAAGATTTTGCAATAACTTATTCCCATGATTTATTCTCTATCTTCAACATTTAGATCTGATATGACAAGAAAATCCTGCTACGAAGAAAAAAACACAGAAAAATGTCTGTAGAAGTGATTATTAATTTGGATCAGCAGGAAGTCGTTATTCGTTCGAATTACGTCACACTTAACAGCTCTATTATCAAACCATTAGAACGTCATATGAAAAATATGTAGTTTGCTTTATCGCAACCCAGTAATCACGTGCTGAATAAAAAATCACTGAGAGCAATAAATGAACATGGGTGAAATATACTGGTGAGCAAACAAAATTTCTACAACCTGTTTCGAGAGATCATAATAAAGCTGCATTTGGTAACACACTGGTTACACAGCGTTTCATTCAGTTCTTTACAAGTAGCTAAAAAGAATCCCCAATTTAAAAAAAAAATTTTTGCCCTCCAGTACAGACACATCACCGTTAACTTCAAAGGGCCTAGTTATTACGTCACACTTAACAGCTCTATTATCAATTATCAAACCATTGCTCTGTCATTAGAATGCCACATGAAATATTTTGTTTTAATGCAAAAGAATCATGGTCGTGTGAGAGAGGAACAAAATATTAACAAGAACAATTGAATCTGGTTTATCCTGATTTACATGAGAACGACTTCAGTTTCCCTGGGGAAAAGAATCTTTTTTCGTGCCTCTTTCATGGCTGCCATCAGGTGCTTATGCAAAAACCTATATTCCATTATCTATCAATTGATGATTTTCACGGCGGCCATGTTGGAGGAACTTAACAGAAGAATTGTCAATGAATTCTTTTGTTATATCCTCCAACATGGCCGCCGTGTCTTTAGTTATCTAATTCTCTTGGGAATGGTTGAAAACCATCAATATACCGCCCACTCAGTACATTTTTTTTCAGACGTAGATTGAAGACATGTACAATCGAGATCTCTCGCAGTCGGTATTCCTTGGAGGAATTGCTTGTCTTTCATTCACTGGGAACTTTGTCTTCGTAGTTCTGATCATCACCAACAGAGCGCTGCTCAAGAATGCCTACAATACCATGGTACTTAGTTTAGCGTTCACAGATATGCTCACAGGTAACGGTGACCAAAGTATATATCATGGATGACCTGGCAGTTTTTACAAGAATCGGTGGTTAATATGTGGAGTGTGTTGGAATTTATATTCACACACGTGTACAGCTATTAATAGACCCTTTAGCTTGGGTGTAATGCTTCCTTCCTTCCTTCTCTTCTTCCCTCCATCCAACCATTCATCTTTCCTTCCTTCCTTCTTTCCTTTTTTCCTTCCTTCCTTTCCTTCTTCCTTCCTTCCTTCCTTCCTACGTACCTTCCTACGTTCCCTCCTTCCTTCCTTCCTTCCTACGTTCCCTCCTTCCTTCCTTCCTTCCTTCCTTCCTTCCTTCATACGTTCCTTCCTTCCTTCCTTCCTTCCTTCCTTCCTAGCTTCCAATTCCTAGCTTCCTTACTTCCTTCCTTCCTACGTTCCTTCCTTCCTTCCTTCCTTCCTTTCTTACTTCCTTCCTTCGTTCCTTTCTCCGTAAAAATCAACATGTGAGTTGAACATTTGCCTTTCTTCGTTCCTTTGTTCGTAAAAATCAACATGTGAGTTGAACATTGTATGCATAGAATATTGAATGAAGTGGTAGTGTGTTTAAGGGAAAAGTGTCCCCACTTAGTGCGAAAGCTCTAAAACGACTAGACACTTGAAATAAAGTGATTTATTTTATTTTATTTCCCTTCGTCCCTACGAGTCTCCGTCGCTCCATTCATTCCCTCCCTCCTCCCTCCCTTCCTATCCTCATTTATTCTTCATCTTCGTTTTCTTTCAGGAATAATAATTATCATGATACCATCATATGTCATTAGGGAACATTACATCCTACCATCCCCAGGACCAGGTGCAACTATCTTCTGTTACGTTATCCAGAACCAATTCATGGCCTTCACATTAGGAATGGTTTCCCTCTACACTGTCACCTTGCTAGGGATCGAACGATGGTTTGCAGTTTTCCGACCCCTGCAGTACAGAAAAACGTTCCATTCTTCTAAAGTTCGGATATATTTATCTGTAGTCTGGTGTCTGTCCTTCGCAGCCAATAGCACGCACCTCATTGAGACCAAATACGAGAAGCCCTTGAACGATTCGGGTCCACCCAGCTGCACCTTTTCGTCATGGGCATCGGAAATGACTCGGGAATTCATCGGAATTGTGGAATTTGTGATCAAATTTGTTTGCCCGGTTTTGACAATGTTTGTGACATACACCTATCTGTACATATTTATAAAGAAATCAGCTTCGTGTATCGTCAGCAATCGAAGTCAAATAGCGTTACGTCGGATCACAGTAATGGCGGCGGTCACCGCTGTTGTCATGATCATCTGCTGGTTACCAAACCAAGTCTACTATTTATGCTACAAATTCAACGTCGTCAAACTCAACACAGACTGGCACAAATTTACGGTCATTCTCTGCATGTTTAACTCGTGTGTCAACCCTTGTATTTTTTTACTTAGCAACAAAGTATACCGACACAAGCTGAGGTCTATGGTATGTCAATTTGCGCAATGGACAGGTTGTTTTTGGCATGGAAACGAGAAAGCTAACATCCCGCCTGGTATCAACGTTCCTGTTGTTATCTGCACAAAGTACGTCAAGCTCAAGGACGATGGACGTGAACCTCCTGCTATTGATTACGTCATCAAATTATCAAGCAGTGATTTGCGCATGCGCGTGGGAGATGAAAACTCGGCAGGGAGATTTAGTCATTTGAATTCGCAGTTGAATTTTCATTCATTATAAATTACGTTGGATAATTCATGAATTTTGAAATATTTTAGTCTTTTGTGCGTGATGGATTGTAATAGAGCGCATGTAATAGTGCAGTTTTCGTATGACTGTGAAAAGTTCACGGCACGAACACGGTCGTGACACAGGAAGGGATACGCCAGACAAATCACATTGCACAAGAATTTACTCTCCATCCAATCAAATATCCGGAACACGGCATAAACGGAGCGGACACGGTCACGCCAAGATCACGTCACTTTAAGACCAATCATATTGCGCGTGAAAAAAATCAGCCAATTAAAAATTTAGGAAGTATCACGGTCACGGCACGTCACGCTTACGGCACTGAGCTTTTTACAGTCATATGAAAACTGCTCTATATCCGTGAAATACACTAAATATCACTAAACACATCTATTTCTTTTGTTTTCGATTGTTTCATTAGTGCTATTTTGTACTAATTAGTTCCAGGTGATCTCGGAAAGCGCGCAATGCATGATTCTCTGACTTGAATAACAATCAAACTAACATGACCGCGCGCCTAGAGTCCTGGACGAAACATTGGCGTGAAGGACGCCATTTTGTTTTGAGTTGGATTTGAATATGTATTCTCTTGAAATGTAGTGCGAAATATTTGTGAAAAAAAGTCATAGCTGCAAATTATATAGTAATGTTTCAAGTTATCTACAAGAAATTTTAAAAATTTACAATAAAAGCTTATTTTAAGTAAGTGTTTATCCGTTTGTAATTCGTATAGCCAACAAAGTTAACGCGGCTACAAAGTTTTTTGTTTCGAAAATGATTGAAAATTTTATAATATGCTCAAATTGCTATTTAGCAGTAACGTATATGTAGGTATATTAATATTTTTAATAACAATAAACCCTTTTTTGATTTCAAAATGTGTTGTATTCTCGACTTTCTGGGTAACCAGATAGTAAAAACCCGCTTATTTTGCTGAAGGCTGATCAGACAATGYTGAAAATACCTTGTTTGGTATCGAAAGATAAAATAAAGAAGTAAAAAACAGAAAAAGATAGAAGCTTGAAGACGTTTAAGGTAATTAAACATGTTTTTGTAAGTCAATACATTTTCTGTATACCAAARCTCTTCATGATCTGTACACGCAAAAATAACTTGGAATAAACTGATAATCAGTATTGTACAGATAAAAGCAGGTATAGTATAAATTCAATTAAGAAACCTTTCAATTTGGGACAGTTTTTTGATTGGTTACCACCAAAAGACGCAAGGCATTATGGGGATGTGAAAGTCGAGAATTTACGTGCTATATTATATTCTTTTATGTGTTACGTTCTTGATAATTACCGATCCACACAAGGTCTATTGAGATTGATTCTTTTTCAGCAACTATAGTCATCTATATTGCTGGTTTTCAATCATTCCGAAGAGAATGTAATTACAAAAGACACGGCGGCCATGTTGGATGATATGACAAAAGAGACTAATGACGAATCTTTTGTTAAATTCATCCAACATGGCGGCCGTGAAATGTTCATGAGTTAGCAAGAAATAGCAAACAAAGAATTAAACTTTTGAAGGATTCAAATAATAAATTAGAAGAAAGTTTACTATAAATGGGAGAGAGAGAGAGAGAGAGAGAGA